TTATTATAATATATAATAATAATAGTAATAATAATAATAATTAATAATACCGGTAATAATAATAATAAATAATACCGGTAATAATAAGTAAATAGCAATAAATTGGCGGACAAAAGGACCAAAATATAAAAGTCGTATCGGACATAATCTATCAAAACACCAGTGTGTGTCTTAGAGTATTTTGACTGAATATCGTATATGCCTGTGATAAACCAACGGGCGTTCGTATCCAAGCGGCAGGCATGACTCTTGCCTTAATAGTAAGATATCCCAGTTAAAATCCCGCCGAAGGCACATTTTCAAACAATAGATAAGGAACTTTTTCGTTTGATTAGATATCCAACACATTTACATTATTGTTTATATTTACATTATTGTTTGATTAAAAGAAGTATCCACACGTGCTGTCTAAATGTATTATTATTTTTTATATCAAAATTAACATCAAAAGTATTTTAAAACATTTCATATAATTATATTGATCACTTACTCATTTACTTCGTTTAAAAGTTCAATAATGCTTTTACCACTGCTGTCTCGAATCTCTTGGATAAGTACAAGATCATACCTTAAAATAATCTAGAGTAAATCAATGTTTACTATGTTTTATATGGAACTTGATAATGGCAGGTAACAGTTGTAATTTCACTGTTTCCTAATAATGATATTTGAGGAGAACGATTCGGACTTTAACTTAAGTCTAGATCAGAAAATTACTGACGTACTGAAAATTGCAAGTGCTTTCTTGGGATGTAAGGACGCAGGAAGTTGGCCCATTGAGATAACTGTTTAGTGGTTTGTAGCTACATACGCCTATGCATGACTATAATTCAGCTATTCTTTACTTTCGCATTAAAAAGTGTACACGTAATATTGTAGATAATCGAATACTGATGCATCGGTGAGCGCCTTAACATTAAGCCTGCGTCAACACAAACAGAGCAAGTTTCAAATCGTTTTGTGTTAGGCCTCGTATATTTTCATTGAAATAAGTGACCCATAAATTTTAGATCAGCAAACGCGTCACAAATTAATGAAGTATTATGAGATAGATGAAAAGAAAGTATCTTTGGTCTTCTCAGATAAAATTTATTTAAAAAATATACCTATATATTATGTGTTTATAATTGGTCTATTTTAACAGCATAGGCCTATACCTACCATATTCAAGAAAGTCAACAAAATTTTGTGTAGACCTAGGCCTACATTATTGTATGTATTCAGAGCATGCTTACAGACGGTTAAAATGAAGCCCGGTATTAGTTATTGGCCAACACAGGAAAAGATAATTATAACTTACGTCAACCAGAGTATCGACAACTTCTGGTTTGTCCATTTTTGAAACACCAAAAGTCTGAATGTTGAAAGCCGAAAACCTCAAGTCTCCAAGGCAATTCGATACCAGGATGACCAATAGGGCCAGATATAAAAGTTTGCTCATTTTTAGACTATACCGTTTGTTTGGAGCTAGCTAACGTCTGTTCTCTTCTGTCTGTGCATTTACGAAGCGTAATAATATTAGCCTACAGCCAATATATAGGCCTATATATATATATAAATCTTATCGGAAACTAAAGATAGAGTCGAAATGTAGTGCATATGTTCAATTAATTTTCTTTTATAATATCTTCATGGATTGAGTATCAGTAGGTCAATGTCTGATTAAATTACAGAACTACGTTATTGAGCTTATTTAAAGGCTGTGTTAATTAATTAGGGCATGCCTTTATTAGTATTGTTGCTATCGCTATCAGTAGTCTGGTTTGAAGTATTCTGTCTGTTATAAATATATATACCTGATAATGATGACGATGGTGATAATGATGATTGTGATTATATCATTATGAAAACAATGAATGATGAAGATGCTAATGATGATGATGATGATAATGGTGATCATGATAATGATGACTGTGATAATGACGGTGGATATAGTGATGACAATAAGAACAGGCCTACATTAATTATAACAATAAATAATAAATAAATCGCCAAAAACCAATTTATTACCCACAACCATCTCGTTGTTTATTAACAAAGCTTCACGTTGAACACTAACCCACGTATTCTAATCTGAACAAATACTATTGATTGTATTCCATATGGTGCAAGAAATTATTATTTTCTTTTAAAACTCACTTGAGTATGAACTACTGTTGTATTTTTATTATTATTCTTATTAAAAAATGAATTATTAAATTTTCTGATTTTGTTTGAGAATTTATGTATTCCAAATGATGTTACATTTTTTGTATTTACCGTTGTATTCATTATAAGGGAACAACTTTACTCAATCGAAATTAAAAACTAGACGTGTTTTCCTCTACAAAGATGTTAAATAAAACAAATAGAGATTGCAATAATAATATATGCACATATATATTCTTGGGCAAAAACAATAAAAAAATATTAACATTATTATTATTCAAGATCATCATTATTACTATGTTATTAGTATTATCATTATTATTAATTACAAATTATTATTTTCTTTTATAATCATTTATCGTAATGATAGGCCTAATTCTTTTTTTATTATTGTATATTAAGAGACCAAAAGTACTTCTTCGCAATGAAAAACTAAACGTGTTTCCCTCAAGGTTAATATAACAATTGGAAACTATAATAGTATTTAATATAGATTTTTTTCGCAATAATTAAAAAAATATTATTTTTGTAATGTCATAATTACTATTATTAATATTACTATTATAATTATTATTATGACTATTATTCACATTAAAATATTCATTGTTATATAACAAAAATGCATATACTTAGATAAAAATATAAAACCAGTTACGTTAGCTTTAAATATGGCCTACAAATACATAATTAAAAAGCAGTCATATCAACAATAACATTCATTTTTTTGATGACATACGTAATATTTTATTTTGTCATTTGGAATGGTCATCGTTAAAATTCATGTCATCAAATCAAGTCATCAAATCAAATATGCTTTATTCATTTTGTAATAGTAATAGTAATAATAATACAGAAATTTGCCGAGCCGTGTAAAATCTAAAACAAAAATACACGAAAATTTCATTCCTAGTCAAGAAACACAAAACTTTAAAAAAATACAATAAGGGCAAATATACAATCACGCATTGCAACAATTTGTTATCGCATACTTAAAATGTAATAAGATAGGATAAAAATGTTTAAAATTTTATACATATTTAAAATTGTGGATTATATTGCATGAAAGGGAGAAATACTGTAAACTGTTTATCGTTTAAATGATTATATTACTTTTGACATTTCTTTTTACCTGTCTTCGTTACACGTATAAGACGATTATATTGCAATGAGAAAACCAGATGATACAAAAAAAATGTAAACGTACAGTAAGTTTGTGTACAATGTAGGTGTAACGAACACTAATGATAATACATTATATGTCATTTATCATGCTTATCGTAAGGATAATATTTACATTCGATAAAAGAAATAAAATTTATAATTACATCCCCACATTGTGAGAGTTACCGTACTTAAAATGATAATGATGATTTAGAGTATGGAGATTACAGACAGGCTGATTTGTGATAGCAATGATAGGCCACACGCGGATGTCCTAAATTATTTCTAATATTCACCTTCCAGCAAAACCTGAAGCATTCATATGCAACACCGACCACAGAGTCAGAGTAGGAGGTCTATATTAGTTAAAATCTTTCTGTTTTTTTGTTTTTTTGTGTATTTTCCTTTTGTCTTTGTGTTTGTTTTGTTTGAAGTAGTGCGGGATTCAAGGGTTTACACTGTATATACAGGATTTCATATTCACTTATACACGCCATTGAAACAGAGTAGGCACACTGTTAGGATTGCTCTTTGGTGCCAGGCGAATAATGTACAGTGTTGTTGAACTAGCAGCAAACGTTACTCTCCGATGGGTCAATATCAGTAGCGAAGTAACTGGCATTCTGTTTTGATTTATGATTTTACAGAGTCCGGTTGAGAGGTAGGCTACATAGTAACCCAAAATAATGAAAGGAATTATGGTATAATTAATATTTAGTTATTTATTCAACAATATTTCACGCGGGGGCTTACACAAAGCTGACTCAAAGAGGCCCTCATAGGCCTAATACAGTACATATCAAATAGGTAGGTAAATATAAAAATACTATAAGGAAAATATAAAATTTCTATAAAATTACGTCAGCATGACAATCTATGAAGACAGCGCGATTTGAGACTTTATAGCTTCAATAAAAATAAGTACAGTAATTATGTGAGTATATTTTTATATTTTATCCTGAGACACATTTTCTTCCACAAATTTACTTTTCTGCATTATACGTTATCTTCCTTGAAGCAGAGACAACCTTGCTTATCGAACAGAGTAGAGTGGCCATTGTGGCGGTCCTGGGACCACGCTCCCGTAGAAGGTCATCTGTCATTATTATTTTAGGTAGCGCCTTTATTTACCCTAACATCTGAGCATCATGTGCATATCCCAACATACTTATAGATGTAGTACTGTACTTCATTTGTTTGTTTATATATATACTATTCTATATAAAGTAGAACCCTTATTAAGTGGAGGTTAATGTATTGCCCATACCCGATCATTTAGGAAGGAAAAATACTTTTTTTTTTACCCTAGCTATACTACTACACCTAAAACGAAGACATATATAAAAGCTATCCTCCCGATTGCTACAAACTAACTTCAGTAAATTGGCCAACCTGAATATGATATGAGAGAGGGCGGACTAGTTTACGGTTAAATGAAATGATTGAAGAGTCTTATAGTGTACAAAACAGATAGAAGACAGTAGGCCTAGGGTGACCAAAGTGTATTGATGAATATTGCGTTCGAAATGTTTGTTTATCATAAATTATTTTAATGTAGGATAGTATTTTGTTTAATAAGTACTGTATTAATAAATATTACCATATAGCCCATGTTTAATATTTAGAAAACGTTGAAGTTACCCTACAATGACAAGTACCGGTAGGCCCGGTCATATTATCTTAGTAGTAAGTCTACTAATACCAGGTGAATGATTAATTAAAGTGCAATGCAGAGTTTAATGAAATTCTACGTTCTTTAACACTCGCAAACATACTCGACATCTATAAATTAAATCGGCCAGATTGGCTCATTCCAACTGAACGACGATTATTTTCCCGATGAACCAGACCAATTCGCTTCCTATGCTGGTATTAGGTCGACCACAGTTCCGAATTCCTGCAAAAAATAGTAACAGATTCATTGTTATTTTAAGGAGGATTTATGGTAAACATGATTTGTGTTCATCAGAATGAAAACCCATGTAGGTTCGATCTAATAACCCAATTAGTCGGTACTATACAGAGAAGAATACAAATAATTGCTCTTCGTAAGATTCACAGCAACAATCATCGTTACGCATGTTTTTCTCTCCAATCAGTTTGCTCATCCATAAGAGCATTGTTTAATACACAATGGGTTGCATTCCCATCATTTGGAACAGAAAAATAATAAAACGCGCAATTAAAACAAGCATTAAAACTCACCAACTTTTAATTATCAATATCTACAAATATGTATTTCCTTTAAGTCGATCGCCCCTAGTTTCATTCAGGTTTGAGTCGGCGACAGTTCACACGTATTTAAGGTCTTGCATATCAACATAGTCTCTGTAGGGCTGTGTTAAAATATTGCTTAAACAATAGTTATTAAGAAATCTAACTCGTTATATAAACACAATGACATTAGCAAAAGGGGTCTTCGTCCCGCCTCTCCAACCCCTGGACAGACAACAAATCCTAAGAAAGTTACCAATCATTTAGATTAACATGGCCCTCTGGACCCCAGAATAGGCAAGGGAACATCCTCTTCTGAAAATATGTTTTCAATTAAATCAGACCTTATTCTTCAATCGGCACTCCGCTCCCTCCCCGGTCATTGTCCTGGATCCGCAAAAAATTCCAGGTTCTCGATCACGGACAGAATTTCAACTACACAGCAGTCACATCGAGTATGCTAACCAATAGTCCATCCAAGGGTTTGTTTCATATCATTTCACAATCTCCAGGCGTTCAAACTTACCTTTTAAAAAACAGGTCTACCATTTCTTCATAAACATTATCATTATATCGCCATCATTATAATATAACACCAACATCGTTATAATTATCATCGCCCTATAATAATCCCCCATTCCCCTTTGTACACAATGTTAATTATTTAAGCTTGTTTTTGCCAGCCAATGCACATTCTGTAATCACTAAAAATTAATTACTTCTCTAAAATATGCAAATATGCATCAGCACACGTTATACACATAATACTAATTATAACACATAGGCCTTAACGTGAATTGTTTCAGCATTTTGCAAACACAAATAGAACATGGTTTGTTTTAACTCATATTACGAGGACGACGTGTCACTTTTATGCGATTACGAAGCCACTGTCATCTTAGATGTGCTGTTTACCTCAGCCCCCAACCAAGGTGGGGGCTGAGGTGGTTCTGAACTCATCTAGCTTTTTGAAGTATATAAAGTAAATACTTTTAAAAGACAATGTTTTTAAGTTCAGGAGCGGATCCAGCAAAGGTGGGGGGGGGGGCAAACAATTTTAAAAAATGAGAAGAGTTAAAGGGAAGAAAGAAAAAGGGGAAAAAAGAAGTGTACCCATGAGTTCAGTGGCGGATCCAGTAGTGGGCGAAAGGAGAGCTTGATTATTCCTCCATGATTTGACCAATCACTAATTTCAAGTAGGCGTTAAGCATCACACTTTTGGGATCTTATAAAGGTCGATGTTCAATTTACTACGACATCTAATATTACATGGGTCGAGTCGAGGCTTGTCTTGGAAATCACAAATTGGGTCCCAGAAAAGAAGTTTGAGAAGGGGGTCTACGGTACGTACCGAATTCGTTTTTGTTTTATTGGAGAATGATGAGAATTTCTTGGAATAAATTGATGAGGAATGAAGAGGTATAACGGTGTAAATTTGTAAATGAAGAAAGACAATTATTTAAAGTGAGTACATTGGCAGTTAAGATTCTTAAGGCCATGTAGGCCTAATCCGTGAGGATGTTTTAGAAAACTGACATACAGTATGAAAGTAAAATAGGGGAATCCAGAGCTAGGGAAAAGAAAAAGTACTATAGACGACTTAATACTGTCAACTGGGCAAAGGAGAATGGATCTCATTCATGTCGTCAATAATAGAGACTAGGTTCAAAGATATAATTGCCAACGTCAGAATCTGACAAGGTACTTGAAGAAGACTGTGATGTGGTATTTTTCTGATCACAATTTCTCGTTATTTAATTTCCTCATATGGACATTTTCCTTCGAAACATAAATAAATATTTCATCACTATATTTGTTTTTGGTTGTTTCTTCTTTGTTGAGTTTATGCACTTTTTTTAATAAACAAAAATATGATTATTCTAACGTAAGAAATTATTATCAAAACACAACGAAGTTCAGGTTCAATTTATGGAAGCCTTATTGGACTTTTGTTGAACAATAGCGCCCCCACATGAAACAATCAGAAGCTGGCCTGACCTGGATGAGGTTATTTGAACGCTTCACCGCGCTCGAGTTGATGCATAGAGATTAGTGTAGCAGAACAGAATGCTCCATCAACAATAAGTTAACGAAAACGCATGTTGAATTGTGATGGAGGCTTCTACTTCTGCAGATTCAGGTTTAAATTCAAATTTAGACGATGAGACAACGCCAGAGCATAAAGAACCAACAAATGATGCAGTAGATGACCTTTTGCCAATTCTCAAGAAGTATGTAGGGGTATTTTTCATGCTGTTTTCAATTTGGGTGTTGGGATGTTATGGCTTCAGCAGCAGTTGGGTGTTTATGATAACGATTGTACTGATGCTTCGCGAGAAAGCAACAAAAAGAAAAGAAGTAAAACTTTTGGTAGCCAGGCAGGCAGTTACGAGTGAAAGACAAGTAATTGAAGCTGCAGTTCAAGAACTACCATCGTGGGTGAGTGCCATTACATTGCTTAATCAAAGTGCTTCTCAGGTTGTGTCAAAAGTTGATGATGTAGGCTATTGATTGTTGTTGCTGAACTGAAGAATACTTTCTTTGGAAGAAGGTGCGTGGATGTGCAAACATGGACGAGGCCAAGCTTAGACCCTTTTAAGTTTTAGGCTCTAAAACTGTGGCTGAAAAGAGGGGAGGGGGGAATAAAGTGTCATAACAACTCTGTGAGTAGACCTAAATGTAAATCACAGCATTTGGTTAATAGCCAGGGCAGTGGCGGCCTCCAGAGAATTGCTGACAGTGGTCCAGCCAGCGACGCATCTGGCCATAACGATAAAGTCTGACCAAGGTCCGACAGTAGCAGCCAAGGGTAGACCTTGTTCATTGCTCTACAGTGGCATATAATATTCTGGATAATCACTTTAATATTTTTGGTTCAACGACCTCGTCATGATGGTGGACAATGGTGGGGAGGGGAAGGGGAGGCAGGTCAGGCCAGTCCAGTGGGGAGAAAGATCTTTGGACTCTGGTATAGGCCCCCCCTAATTGGCCTTTGTAAAGCTGAATGCTCTCCACTAAAATTGTACCTTGTATTAACAACACCTGAGAAGTAAATATACCTTGTACGTTGGCTTTGTATCTTCTTGTTTCTTCTGAAATAGACTGCTAGGGACTATGTGCGGGAAGCAGATGAGAGTGGTTTACGCAAGGGTTACTGTGGGGGAGTAAATGTCAGTCCTAAAATAATAATGTAATTTAATAAATTCTTTCATCTTAAGGGAGACTAATTGCAGCTCTGGGGAGACTTGGGCCTAAGCTTCCAATAATAATTCTATTACTAATTGACTTTCAATATTTTCCAACCATTTGCACAAGATGCTCCCTCATTTCAGTCATTTTTTTTATGAAACAAGCATTTTGCAAAATCTGTGTATTAATTATGAATTTATTACTCATTCATTCAAAATGGAATTAAAAAACTAATATGGATCTTGTACCCTCCACCTTGCTCTGGCCACACCCCTTGATTGGTGTTGCCCGTCACCACTCGCATTACGGTCATGCATTCAAATTGTCTGACGTTGCTAATTTGAAATAGGATGATTGTAATATTTATGTAATTTATAAAGTTTATTTTTGGCAATTTTTTAGTTTCTATATATATATATATAAACATGTTTTCTTCTTGGATTGTGTTTAAAATGATTGATAACACAGTCAGTACATGTTTGATGAAGCCCCATTGATTGATGGTGAAAGCTTGTGAAAAATAATTGTCAATAGTCATAAAAAGCTATTTTACTAGTGTTAATTTGTTTTTTACCATTATTATTTTGTGTTATTTGCCATTGGCTGCTGTTATACTATAAATAAAGTGCTGTGCTAATGATAGATTATAGATATTTAATTAAAATCTTTGTTTAGCATTTTATTCAAAGCACAGTCTTTCATATCACGTTTTTAAGCCTGTATAGTGCACATGTACTGTGGCCATATCAGCTTGGTAGGCCTGTATACATCCTTGTCTTTAATCATATTAAAATACATTCTTGCTAGTACAGTAGACAAACAGTAAACCTAAGCAGTTGCCTTTGTTCTACTGTACTATTGTTGTGCGTGTTGAGGTTTGGTTGACTTCTTTTGACTTTCTCTGTATATACAGTATTAGCCTTCAAAATTACCACAGCCTGTCAATACGACAGTGAAAAGAATTCTGGATTATCTGTCGGCTGTGTAGGTTGACTTATTGTACATTCCACTCCAGTTTCAAGAATGTTGGTGTGTAAAATGTCAATCATCAATAGAAAAAATTAATTCATACAGCAGTTCTGTACTCAAAAAATTAGCTGAATTTTACACTATGGTTATAAGTGATGCATTAGCTCCCCTATTGCTTTTAATGTCTACAGATAAATCGCACTGTAGACCTACAAATTACTATGTAATTTATAATATAAAATTTTATTTATGGATAGATAGTGTATATTGTTGGATAGTTGAAAATACAGAAAGCATCTATTATAAATGTGTGTACTAGTTTAATTGTAAAAATTCTGTTTATTGGGCATTTTGTATAACATAAACAGGGTTTCATTTTGTACAGTGTCTTCGGTATTTTACATGACAAGGGAGTATATTAATGTTGTGATCCATTAACTCTATGTTCTATAAAACTGTTGACTGTACTGTTTCATGAATTTATAATATGCTTTTTCTTGGTTGCAAAGTGCCAAAAATATCTCCACAAAGGAACTCTTATGGTTGACACCAAAATATTTCCTATAAAACTCCAAGTAGTAACTTAGTAATTGCACAAGAAAATAATATTTGCATTTCATAATGATATTCTATTATAGTGCACCATATATGGTTTTTGAAGTTACTCAGTTATCCAAGTTTTCTTGATCCTTTTTCTATCATCTCCTAACTTAATTGGATCTATACATCCAGTGGCATTTTATAACATTGGCATATGAAGGGGTCAGGGCTTGGCAGTAAACTAGTGTGAAGTAGTTCTACTATGTGGGTTACAATTCTAAGTAAAAATGACCAATTAGGAAAAGGGATTTAGTTCTGCGTTCTGGAATTTAATTCAACATTCTCATTTTTCACACACCCCCTCCCCTTCCCCCAGCTGAAACAGGCCTACGCCCCTGTTTAGGAAATTTGATTGTGCTGATGTGGGATGGGGCACAACAGGAAGGCCAGGTGGCACATTGTTGTTAATTAGTAAAGTGCATGGGCAATGTGCAATATTTGCTATATAATTAGGTGATGTCTTTTTCAACGACATATATTTTTGGTGTGGGAAAGAGGAAAATTTTTTCTAGAAGGTGTCTCCTTGACTGATTTTCCCCTCCCCCCTCCCCCTTTAGATATTCCACCAATCTCATCATTATAAAGGAGTTAAGTGGTCCTTTATTTTATGAAGCACTAAATAAATTAATATTTCTAAATGTAACCTCAGAAATCTTTAGTGGATACTGTAGTATAGGCCTACTGCAAGCACGTTTACTGAACAGTAATGGAACGCAAACATACTCGACATTCCTATTGAATACCACAGGCATCTTAATTCAAAGCTATCATAATTATGTATGCTTGTATGTAACTATGTTGTGCTGTGCAATATGGTAGTGTCCAGTGGCCGTTCCAGGGTGGGTAAGGGAGTATTTGTGTGTTACCCTACATACACACACAAATTTAAAAGGTCCACTATTTAATTGGTTATTTTCTATAATTAATAGATAATAAATAGTCGGAAATAATGAAGAAAGAACAACAGTATCAAAATTCACAGATCAGTGGATGATTGGTGGCGGGTGGGGGGGAGAATGGAGTGGCCATTTTTTAAAGTCAAAAAAAAGGGGAAAAAAAAGAAAAGGAAATTACTATTTCCGGGTGTCTAGAAAACAGAGATTCCCCAGGCGTATGCCTGTACCCCACTTGCGTAGTGTTGTCTTTTGATCGCCCTTCCCCCCCCCTCCACCCTTCCGACATCTTTGTCTGTGCTCCTACAGATTGAATACGAATCAAATTATAGTGATAACAGCATACACTCTTTGATATTCTACTGTAAAGGGCCCATTGGTTAATACATTAGTGGCAATCGATACTTTAATTTTATTGAAATGCATCAGCACTTTCTTGCCCCTGGGCCATGTGATCCAGTGAGCGCTGAGAGGCCGGGGTAACCGGGGCAAGTTCCCTGCAGGGACTGGGATAACTAAGTAAAAAATCATAAAATTAAATAAATATATAAAAATGATTTAACATATACATTCATCTAGTATCATTCATGTGTTTTCCCAAGAGAATTGTATAAAGCTGACCGCTTATCGATGATATATCGTAGTTAATCGCTTCTAATTATTTTTCATGAATATTTTCATTGCTTCTACTACTCTAGAATTATGTTTTACAATGTATCATATAGTTAATTTTTTACGTTATTAATTAATAAAGGCTTGAACCCTGGGATCAAAGGGCAGAACCCAAAACAATGGGCCTGGGCAGCGAAGATGCAGCGGGGCCCAGGGCATTTGTACAGTAATTATTAAATTCATTATTTTGTAATGCTTCTTGTGATGCTATTATCAAACATTATAGCACAGCGTTATTATGTATTCTTCATATTTTTTTAACACTGTTTTGATTTTTTTTTTTTAGGTTTACTTTCCTGATACTGAAAGAGCTGAATGGTTAAACAAGGTACTTTATTGCATGTCTTAATAACTCTTGAATGTTAAGTATAAATGAGAGCAAGTTTGTATCTAGCTGTAATGCAAAAAGAAACAAGTTCACAACATGACAATGCTGTTCTTTCGTGCATTTATTGTTTAAGATGCTTTGTTCTACAGTAATAACTGTATGCATTTGAATAAACGCCCGGGGCATTTATTCAAAGCAGGGCATTCAAATAAATACAGTATGTTGTCCTTAAAATGAGGCATTAACCTGTGTGCATAGTGCACATGTGCATGAAATACTGTAGTACTTCAGCACTGTACACTAGTCAAAAAGACTAGGTTGTGTCATATGACTGACAGTATATTGCACTTCAGCCGCCAGATGTCCCCAGGGGCCTAATGTTGATTTATGTTGAACAGAATTTACATTTAATAACTAGATTCCAATATTTTTACATTACAATTTACATAATGAAATGGATTATAACTAATACAGAATTTTAGCAGTGTATTTCTTTATTTTGTTCAATATGTAATTTGCACCAAAAAAAAAATAAAAATAAAAAGAACATGCTAATTGCAAGTATGGTATTCAGTTTGTTACAATTTGTAAAGTATGTATTTTGCAAGTATGGAATTTAATTGATTTAATATTACTTCCTATGACTGACAGTAGGTTGCACTTCAGCCGCCAGATGTTCCCAGGGGCCTAATACTAATTTATATTGAAAAGAATTTACATTTAATAACTAAATTCCAATATATATTCCAATATTCCAATATTTATCTTTTCATTAATTCATTTTTATATATTGTCAGTTGTTGTCTTGTAACTGTTGTACGGGTCGAACCTCTCCTGCGCGAGAGTGTTCCTCTGTTATAAAAGAGAGAACCAATAAATCTTATCTTATCTTATCTTTACATCACATTTTACCTAATGAAATGGATTATAACTAATACAGAATTTATATTCTTTATTTTGTTCAGTATGTAATTTGCACCAAAAAAAACAAAAAAAACCAACATGCTTATTGCAAGTATGGTATTCAATTTGTTTTACACTTTATATAGTAGTTATTTTGCAAGTATGGAATAATAACAATTGGTTTAATAATTAATAAATGCACACTATGGTTTAAAAATGCAACAATATTGTACTGTAAAACAGACGGTACAGTAGATGTTTTTTAGTTTATTGAATTTGATATTGGATAGGAGGAAAGATGCGAGTTGAAAAATTGCCATATGGACAGATTGAGTTAGTAAACATCACCATTACAGTAGACCTACCGAGGATTACAAAGTCGAATAAAAAAGGTTTTTTAAGTAGGATTTCCTTATGAATTTCAGTTCATGTGCATAGCAGTAAAAGAAGCATTGTAATGGTTAATTTTGACATTTAATGTAATAAATAAACATGCACATTTCCTTTTTAAACTCAATCAATTTTTGCCTATTTACAATGGGATTTTAGCTTTTGTGGGCTTTGTTCCCACCTAGGCCATTAGCAGTTTTGAAGAAAACTCCTTCCAAAGTGGCTCAGGTTAATCCTTTTCATTTTCCTACCTTTTTTCAAATTTGATCAACCCTGGTGCGGCCACTGTTTGCTCATTATATAGTATACAGTTTACGATACAGTAGCCGGAAATTTAAATTTTGCATCTGCATGTAGACATCTGTTGTTATGTGATTTTTATATTTACACATTATCCTTAAATGGTATTGTATGTAGTGGTAATGCTTGATACTATAATTATTGTGTTCATTTGTAAGTCATGCAGTTTAATATGCCCACCAATTTTATTGGATGGTTAAGATGAGATGTTTAGTTGCCATTTCGAAGTCAGAATTTCCTATATTTGCAAAGGCCCAAAGGTATTCATATTTACAGACATGATTAGTATAATAAACAATATTTTACTTAATTTTAGAAATAATTTTTACAGTATAGTATAGTACCTATTATCTTCTAGCATATTGCATTCTGCTATTTATGTTGACATTTAGTTCTAAGGTGAAGGTAGGGGTAAAGGTGGAGGGATTAGGGATTGTGGTATACCATTGTCTGACCAACTATTATTTTTTAAATATATTTATACTATATGATAATACAAAATGTACAGTAGTCACAAAGAGTCGTGAGCATAGCCCCTGAAGGGGGTGATGCCAGTTGCTATATCAACTGTGATCCCAGAAGGATGTTAGTTACTCCCTGTATACTTGATAAATGATGTCGTAGTATTATGTTCTTAGTGTCTATGGAAATATTGATTTGACCTGTAGATATACCTAGTTGTTTCTCAGTGTTCATTTCTAAATATTGATGAAAGTCTGAATGAATGGAAAATCCTAACTGTACACAGTATCACGTATAATAAGGAAAGAATTAACATATGTATTGCTATATTGCCTTGTTTATTGATTTTGTAATTCATAATTTGTATACGACGTTAATAGTAAGAAAAGTGTTTTGAAACTAACTGCACACAAACAAATTTACTTCAGCTGGCTGTCTCATAAGGTAGTAGGCCTAGTAGTCTCACTTTCAAATATTAGACACAACAGCGAGAAAATGGCTGTAGACGCAGATTTTTCGTTAAACTGTGTTTTCTGTGTGCTCTAATAGATTTTACACTTTTTAGAACAACATGTGCACACATGAGTTGATAAACAGCTTCTGATTGGAATGTACAACTTCAAAATATACAGACTGTTAGATATAATTTATTAATAAAAACTATAAGATGAAATTTTAATATTAAAGAGTAGAGTTTCAGGAAGGAAATAAGGAAATGAGAATCATAACACTGAAAAGGAAATGATTTCTAATGGCGATACATTAATTGTCTGCGGTAAATGTACTGTAAATCCCAACAGATGTTTACATGCCCTTCAGTGTTAAAGTAAAATTCATTGACTATAATTTTAGCATAAATTTTTTTAATTGCAAATACAGGAACAGTCACATCTGTCTTAACTCTTGTGTCAAACAAATGTTATTTTTCCAACTTACTCATTTTGTTGATTACTCTCTCTGTAATTCATTTTTTTACAATATATATATATCAATTTTTATGATTAGTTAATTTATCTTATCAACACTTGATTGAATTGTGATATGTGACTTTATTAATACATTGAATAATGGATTGAATTATTAGTAATCAATATATATGAAAATCAATCAGTTTAGCAATCAATTAAGAACGTACTAATTGATGAATTATTAATTTATTTCGTTATAAAATTATGATGAATTGTTTGTGATTGATTTTCTGAATACTACAATAAATATGTTGATTTCAAATTGAATTTTATTTTTAGATTGTGAAGCAGCTTTGGCCATTTATTGAGGGCTATGTGAAGGACATGATGAAGGAGACCGTGGAGCCCTCGGTGCAAGAGGCCCTCCCATCTTACCTCAAGTCATTTCGATTTGAAAAAATTAGGCTTGGCCATTATGTAAGTTGAGTATAAGATAACTCTGAGAATTTTTAATAAAGGAGAGTCCTTTTCTGTATAGAAATAAGCCCAGTAAAAAAAATTAATTTAGTTTATCACCCTAGTATGCATGTCCTCTATGGGACTGGAAAAAAAAAAAAATTAACATTTTTTTTAAATTTATTATTATTTTTTTTTTTTTTTTTTTAAGTTTTTTTTTTTATTAAATAGTAGATATTATTTGTATTATCTGAATCATGTTTTACATTGAATATCAATGCACCAGCAAACAACCCAAGGGTGATATTTGGCTTTAACAAAATAAAAATTAAAAAGAAAAAACTTTCCTCCTCATCACTTTTCCAGCCTAGAGGGTGATAAACTAATAATATTTTTACAGGGCCTAAGCCAAACATTTATGTTTATTAAAAAAAAAAAAGTATAAAATTTTAAAAATAATTAGATGTTGACATTTAGTAACTTTCTAATATATGATTTAATTTGGTAACTCAAGTTTTTCTTTTACAATTTAAATCAAAAGTTTTATTTTATTTTATTACTTTTTCTTCTCCACAATATTTTGGGCAGCATTATATTTTAAAAGTCAGGCTATTATATACTGTACCACAGCCCTCAAAATTAGGGATAAAGACTCCGGCAAAAAATCGCCGACATTAAAAAATTGACGCCGGTCCTACGTCGGCATTTTCAAAAAGTTGTCAAGTACGACAGGCCTAAACCTAGGTTAGTACTAAGTACTAGCCTACGCGCCTACGTGGACCATCGGATCCCCAGAGTGCTGTGATGTTCTAGGTAGACCTAGGCTAGCCGCAGTGATAAAAAATAAGCACTAACCATGGATGTTGAAATATGTTTACATGTTACTTTTGTGAAAACGAATTAAAACAAAAATACTCTGGGCATATTTATCCCTAAAATAAAAGCCACTACAGTCAAAAGGATAGCAAACTTTGGTGACGACGAACACGCCCGACTTTCTGTTCTTTCTAGGAGATGTTGGCGACGCACTGCAGCGTGTGAGTTGGGGATCGTCTTTCACTTTCACTAAAATCAACGGAGAATACAGACAGAACAGCTAATGTGTGGAAGGGATTAACTTAGAAGTTCCGGTTTTTTTTTAATTAGTGTAATTTATTCGTGAAAAGTAGCAGTACGTTTCTGTTGAATTGGTGTTTGAAAAGTAAATTCACGTCTGCAATTTTCTCGCCGGCGACGGGTGCCTAGACGCCGGCACTGCCAAATGCCGACGTTAATTTTGAGGGCTGGTACCAAATGTCATTGAACGTATTTCCATTTAGTTCATGCACTGTTTCCAGCCCTGTAATACAATGATGATGCAACATCCAGATTAGTGTAGGCAAGTAATGAGGCAATGGAAATAACTTAATGGTACTGACAATATGGATTCATGATCCTTAATATTCCAATACCATAAGGTAGTATTTTGTTAAGCATAAGTACTATCCTCAATTATAGTACTAAAAAATTCAGATGCTTTATATCTATATGGTGGCAATGATAGCAACATGTGGTAATAAAAGCGATAAGCAGTGATTATGGTAAAGATGATGCAGCACACTTCTTTTAAGCTACCTAATATTTGACTGCAGTACATAACATTCTGTACCTTCAAAACTGAAACAACTTGGTCTCTTTGTGATTAAACTTGCGAAAAATCAATATTTAAGTTTATTCAGTAGCGATACAATAGTTTTTTATATCGGGGTTTTTTGTTTTTTTTTAATATAATAATATTGAAAGTTAATAAACTATTTTTTTTCTTATAAAATAAGCATTTTTTTTTTTATTATGCAGTATAATATGTGAGAATTAACAAATTATTTCTTCTGCCCAGCCCCCTAGAATTGGTGGAGTAAAAGTCTACACAGATAAAGTGGCCAGGGATGAGATTGTTATGGACTTGGAACTTTTGTAAGTTATATAATGAGATACTTGAAGTTTTTATTAGAATATAAATTTATATTTTACTGTCTTTGACCTTTAAGCTGTCTTAATTTTTTTAATTTTCGTTAGTGAAAATAGTCTGGTCTAAATAGATTTTTTTCTGTTTAATTATGCAAGGTAAATTAATATTTATTTTCTTAATAGATGGTGAATTTTTAATTAATATTAATGATGTAAATTAATAATAATAATTATATTTACATAGTCTTTCCATAAATTTTTTGTAATTAATTACAATATAATGTTGCATATCTTAATATTGTATTTTAACATCTGTTTATAAAGTGTATTGAACAAATGTAGGCCTAAATCTGAAAAGGCACTATATACTGTAAATATATATTAATTTTTGTTTAATATTAAAAAAGTATAAATGCTGATATCTCTATTCAGTAATTGGATGTGTGTGCAGTAGCTAGACAAACCCATCCACAATAATGTGAACATACTGTATGTGTCATTTTAAGTTGCATATCATTAACATATGTTGCCAATAGATGTGGATTGTGATTACTTTTTATTTTTTTTATCATATGAAAGTTATGCTGGAGACTGCGACATTGAAATCAGTTTTAAAACCCTCAAAAGAATTAAAGCTGGGATCCAGGATATTCAAGTAGGTTTGTTTCCGTTATACTCTCTGAATAACAAATTAATAGGTGTCTCTTCCCAGAAAGTATCAAAACACTTTAAAAAACAGGATGTATAGTAAATATTTACTTTTAAAATATTTAAAGTTTAAGCTTTGTGTCACCAGGAGTTTCAAAAGCTGCCGTTGCGCGACGGAATCCACAGTGTACATCGCACACTTGCATCGCCTACTTTTTAGGCTGTGAAAAAAAAACATAGGCTACCCATGCAGAGATTGTGTGGTTGTCCTCAAGGTACGCAGCGATAAATGGCTAGGCTTAGATATATTTACATTTACACAAAACTTACTTTATATTTACATTTACTCAAATCATAGCATTTGTCTAATGTTTGTTTATTTTAAAATCTGATGTGACACTGATGATGATAATTTATCTATTTGATTGGCATCTCGCCGCACTTGTAGTAGTGCGTGCTAAAACAGCATCGTGTGGACAGATCTCTCACTCATCTTTACCTCTGACACTTAACTGACCTCATGATAATAGAACTGAACCTAACACAGGCTGTTAAACGGTTTCCAATTGGATCGCTTTACACTGTCCAATCAAATCTTTTGTTTATGAAAAGTTGTAGTCCGAGATCGCCAAAAATGACACTGAAATTGTAAAGCAAGGGAAAATTGATGGTTGGTTTTTTTCTCAAAAAAGAGCAAAAAGGGTAAGTATTTTAATGAACATGTGATGGTAATGAATTAACAAAACAACTAAAATGATTCATGAGTCTGACCATGAATGACGATTGCTGGGCCTCTGGAAAGGCCCACAAGGTTTTGCTCATTCATTAGGACTCTCCTATCTCTATTTTCACTAGGCCTAGCTCCTAGAAGAAGAGGCTAGCTGTAGTCAAAATACAGAGTATAGGCTAGTACAGTCTAGTTAGGATATGCGATCCGTCCGGTTCCAGCAATTAATTATCGTGGATAGCCTACATATTGTTTACTTAAAAGGATTATTTCACCATACATAGATAGGCCTAGTAAATTGTACTTAATAAAAACTTATGATAGATTTAAGCAAAACAAAATAACCAACAAAATGTCACGTGACAGGGGCCGACTGACAATTGTAATTTTATTCCTGGCCTATCTTATAGGCTTGTCTACCAGGAGTAGTAGTACTGTAATTACTACTGGATGGTATTTTCTAAAGCTTTAAAAAAAACCATTAATTTTTTTCCAGATGATTATTTCAGTGATCATGATGATCATGTAGCTGAAAATGATGTCCAGCCACATGTTGAAGACCTATTGGCTGAGGGCCATTTCAAAAAAGGTAATTAAATATATAGAATGTTAATTACTGATACTTATGTAGGATTGTTCTTTTCAATTATTAAATTATATAAGCTTATACATATTGCAATGATTTGATTATTATAATATATAATCATAATAATAATATTATTATAATATATTATATTATTATTATAATATTATTATAATAATAATAATAATTATAATAATTAAATACATTATATAATTAATTAATTAGTTTAAGGAATAGGAGTAGTTTAGTCTCATTGTTATTATTGTTATTATGATTATTTTTATTTTATTTTATTGTTATTATTTTATTGATATTTGCTTTTTCTCAGTTGGCCTATATTTCTCTGTAAAGGCGCATAGGGGCAATGTGCAAATATGCGCTATATAAATACAACATTATTATTATTATTAATAAGTTTTTCACTGGATTATTAATACAAATCTAGCCAGATTTGTCCAAAAATGTATTTAGTGATGCTTTTATTTATTTGTTTTATATTGTTATTTTTCAGATTCCAACTCATGATAAGGTTGTAGCTGATTATATCCAGGAGCAACCACACAAAAACAAGTACCTTTATATACAGTACTTCTATTTATTATTTTCCACAGTATGTGAAACAGTAGTCCAGGCCTGTTACTACAATAAATACCTACCTTGCAGAAACAAAATGTTTTACAGTACTTCAGTAATGTCATGATATCAGTCATTTTTTATTTTGTTTTATAATAAATTCACTTATTACAAATTATTACATTTGTATTATATGTCTGTTATATTAGTACAGTATGGTACAACTCAACATTATGACCAGCTGAATAAAACCATAAAATCTTATATAAAAACATTATTTTGTTTAATAAAATATATCCATAGACAGAGCTCCAAGAATGCAGGAGAGGCCATTTCCAGACATCTAAAAAAAAGTTTTTCCGGACCACCCCCCCCCCCCACAACCACTCTGAACTTTGATGATAAATGGTGCACCTGCTAATCTTCAGATTCAGCCTCCTACTTCCAAAACTTGAAATCCCTGCGTCACATGACGGTACCATGTGACACGGCTTCATTACTATAAGCAAACCTACCAAGCAGTCGTTACATCTGAGTGACATAACTTACATAATCAGAACCTAGTAATTTCCAATAAAAATTTAAAAAAACTACTGATGTATCTTTGATCCATGATAAAAGTTTACAAGATATTGTAAAATTATATTAGAAAGGTACGTCAGTTGAAAAAAGATAAGACTTGTATTTCAATGTGTCTAAGATGCACTAAGATGTATTCACTACATGTAGTCTTCCATATTACATAAAATTTAGGTAAAAATTAGGAAGTTTTAAATTATTAATTGTCTGGCAGTGCATTATCTTTATCCCATACTTCAAGTTTCTAAAATGTAGAATAATTTATAATTGCACTATGTTTTTTACTTCATTCATTGTATTCCAATAAATTTTTTTCTTCGCTGTTCTTAAGCTGCATACACATTGGATCCGAACCAAAATTCGGACCACGTTTCTGATATGCAGAACAAAACGTCCCTATTCTTACACACTGATCTCAACATGATCCAAAAATTCTGATGTGAATAGGCTTACCACTTTATTAAATTTTTTATTTTACATGTATTACTACTGTATATCTAATTCCTACCGTATTTTCCAGAGTATACTGCAAACTACTAAACGTTTATAGCCCTTAAAATTTCATGATATTGTAATAAGAGATTTTTGCTACCGGTACCATTTTCATTATCAGAGAGGCCAAGACAGCTAAACATTTGATTAATTTAAGAAGTAATTTAAGTAAATGATAATAAATTAAACTTGTATTGTACATTGATGGGACAATCATAAATAATCTCGTCAGGATTTGAACCCAAGACTGCTGAGGTACCAGGCCTGTATGCTTCATTAGAATTTCCAGTTAAGATGTTTTTCTTATTCAAAGTATTGCATAATATGCAACAAATAGATAAATCACATGATATTATTTAACTGGAAATAACTAAAACAGTTTTTTGAATCACTTTCATAACAGCAACACAAATTTCACCATACTGAAATAGTGCATACAAAATTTTGAATTAATTATGAAAGTATGGATGGTCATAGTTAATTATTAACCGCTTACTCATTAAGAGACAGCAGATAGTGCTATTGCAATTGCATTAGTAAGTAGTCGTAATTATATGATTGCTAAGGCTTTGTTTGCCCATGAAAGTAGTCATTTCAATGACGTAATGCAATAGGCATGTCCATTAACATAGTCCGTAAGCTTGTGTTTACAGTTGCTATAAAAAGCTAAATGCAGCTGCCTAATAATATCCAATCACAGAATTGAAAGTCTTGGATGTTTTATTTGATGAATGTGGGCCCAGTATCAAATATGACATCAACTCATGAGACTAAAGATATTAAGGAAGATGATGCTTCCTGAACTCCAGAGGTATAGCCAAGTGCATAGCTTGTCCAGGAAATGTGGCCCAGTTGTTTCTTTGTGCTTAATTGTTATTATCACATGGTAAATACATCATAAGACATGATATCAAATAATATTGAAGATTATCTTGCACATTGAAAACAATAAATAAATTAAATTATTAAGCAGTTGCCGATGGTAAACTCTAAAAAATGCAATTGAAATATAGTGCTTATTTGAAAGGATCCCATATTATCAATATCTAAATACGAGACTGACTGAACAGAGAAAGTTTGTTTTCTTTGGTATACAAAAATATGGTTTTCAGGACAAAAATATTTAGATGATAGTCAATAATACAAAAAATATTGGAACAATATGAGAATTGCCATCCCAAAACCAGCGTACTCTTGCTAATTCTTAAACTGAGTATTAAATTAACATAAGATTGTGGCCTAATTGTATACTTTAGTACAGAGTAGATGTAAGATTTTTACTCATAACTTTGGTAGTAATACAGTGTAAGTCAATTCCAGTAAATGACCCATCATCAGCTTATAAAATGTAGAGAATAAGAATATTATTAAAAAAAGTCATTTTTCAATTTTGGTTACTGATGAAACCATTTGGTATTAATAGGAACTTGTTTTTCATTTTAGTTTCTGGATGGCAAGCCTCGTATTTTTTATGCTCTCATTCTTTGCCGAGGAAATTTAACTTTTATTAATTTCCAATAGAAAGATAATAAATTTTGCTATTTATATACAAGATAATTCAAGTGACGTTGGAAATTAATCTACCTGTACAGTTCTTGGAACTTGTAATTGAGCTTTGCAATGTTGTATTAAATTTTTTTAAAGTTTTACCAATTTTTATGAATTATCTTTATAAAATGTGTTAGATTTAATATAATAATATATTTATTTCCTCCAAAAACATCATAGAACAAACATACAGAGGAGGGGTTAGATGAAGGAGGAACAAGTTCCTATTACCAAACGGTTTCATCTGCCCAAAAAACAAAAACGAAAAATTAGAGACATAAATTCATAGAAATTCTATAAACTATAAATTTATATCTATATATATGGAGTTTCTTATTTCGATTGGCAGGCTCTTCCAAATGTCTGGTATGGTATTGAAAAAAGAATATTTAAATTGTTTTAAATTAAATCTTTTATAATAATTCTGCTTTCAGGTAATTGCTTCAATGACTTGCTAAAGGAGATTAACACTTATATTAATGTGAACCCATTAATTTTTCAACATATTTTCTATCAGGAATTTCTATGAGCGTTAATCCATGATAGGAGAGGCCTAAAAAATTGGCTTTTGATTAGGACGAATAAATGTTAAAATTAAGTATCTTTAGTTAGTAAATATTAGTGGAATGTTTTTTTATTTTAACATAGGCAATCAAATAATGTTTCATGCATGGTCATTTGTCAATGTCAACACTACATACCTGTGCTTTGTGTTACCTGTTAAAAGCAAATTGATTTTTTATTTATTTATTGTCTAAAATATATATTCTTTCTTAAAATAAAAAAAAAGATAATATTTGAAGTATACAAGATGAGAAATGGGTAATTTAGAACATCAAAAAATATTATTATCCATACTTGTTTTTGACTGTATGCATCTTTGATCAATTGTAGGTATTTACTTTATTCATGAGAACCAACAGGTGTTATTTATGTTCGGATTAGGTTAGAACTCTTTATAACAGTGTTTGTTTGGAAGTGAGTAATGTGAATCATGATGTAAGTGATATAAACAGTTTGATAATCTGATTAATTATGCTTCATATTTATTTAATTCTAGTTTGTTTTTTTAAAATATACTTTTCTAAGTACTTTTTCTGGCGACTGCTTTGCTTTTGAGCAGTCGGTGGCAAAAATTTGAAACAATGTATTAATGAACTCTCCCTCCCCATCCATCTCCCCTCCCCCCTCCCACCTATACTGTTGTAGTTGTAAGGAGTGCTGTATTCCGGTTTTTTCTGGTTGAAGTAGGTTATTAAGCAACAGTAACCAGAGTATTTTAGAGGGGGCACTTCATTGTGTAATATCAAACAATACCAAAGCGCAATACATTACTATTTGAATTCTCTGTGAATTCTAGTAGCCTTTACATCATTATTTCGAATTTTTTTAATGTTTGCAGTAGAACCCTGCAGTGGAACAATTTGGGTCAATATTAATATTGTATAGAAAAAAACGTCATATGATTCCACTTAAAACGACATTTGTGAGTTAAAAGCGTGACCTTGCATTGTTTTAATTTTGCTAGTGTTGGGTGTCTTTTACTGGACTGTAATGTCAAGGCTCTGTTAGAAGAGTACTGTTTATTAGTAAGAGGCCCCTTTAGACTGGAGGCCCTGGCCTTCGCCCCAACCGAGACCTCATTGGCCTTACGCCACTGCTCTTAGTTTCAAATTAAGAGTGGTAATCCTTTGTTTTTTTGTTCTTGTTAATATATCTCTTGTATATGATCTCTTGTTGTAGCTTCATGGAACTCTGCGTGTGGAGATTAAACCACTGGTAAATATCATGCCTCTGATTGGTGGAATGTCCTTCTTTTTCCTGAATAAACCAGTAAGTTGCAAAACGTGTTGATAAAAACATGTATAAAATTGACAATGAAGTATTAATAAAGCTGCCAACTTCTGAATTTATATTTTTCATGATATAGCATACAATAAGCATTATTCAAATTTTGTTATATTTATTATTGTTATTGTGCTTGTTACTTTTTTCTTTTGTTATTACAATAATATTATTACTCTTACTGATAATCAACATTATGTATGTACTTTACTACATCATACTTTGTATGTAAAATTGATTGTCTACCAATAAAAACCTCATTCTTTCAATGATTGCTATATTTTCATTTCAGGCTACAGATTTCAATTTGACAAACTTAGCCGATGTACTGGACATCCCTGGAATTAGGTAAGTTATATACCTAGAAAAATCTGTTGACAGGCAAGTAACCCCATTCGGTCTTTTTAGTGGCTACTAGGTGGGAAGGTACACAGCCACCCAGAAGCCAGAAGAGGGCAGAAAAAAAATATAAATAAAATGTTGGTTTTTCATTTAGCAAATATTTTCGCCAAAAACATCCATAGTAGAAATAAAAAAATAAATTTTATTGGCGAATGTAAATAGTGTAGTAATTGGATGGTTAAATGCTTTAAATTTATAAAATTGGGAAGAAATATACATATCTTATTTTATTGGAGATTTGAAGGCAGTGGCAGGTGTAATAAAAATAAAGAAAAACTTCTATGTTTTTCTGAAATTTCCATTTTTCGTGGCGGCGGGTGCGCTAATTGGCCAAAAATAAAATTATAGTTTTATTGAAAATCACCATTATTGGCAGGTTTCAGATTCGCTAAACAAGGTATGAAAAAAGTCTTGCCGAATGAACTCCTTCCAATTACACAATTTAATAATCCTTTTCAGCTTGGAAAAGCTAAAAAAATAGAACCAAGCTATAGTAGCTATTGAACTTTACCTACAGTTATGTACAGTAGCTGTAAACTTTCCACAGAGACCAATGTGTTCCACATTAGAAACATTTCCTTCCTACCAGTATTTCCTTGTTGAAAAGAGATAAAAACATTACTTAAGTAGGAAACTTGATCTTTATTAATAATATTACTCTCAGTTGAAGTGTATTCCTTTTCTTCTCAGTGGAATCCTTCGCAATATCATAGAGGATCAGATTGCACATTTTCTGGTGCTACCGAATCGTATACCAGTCAGTTTGATGGAAGATGTAGACCTGACTAGTCTTAAGTACCCAATGCCGGAGGTAAAGTACTTAGGCAGATGGCCTGTTTCACAGTCACAGGACTCCCCCCCCCCCCTTGCAAATTTACCCCTCCCCAATTTTCCCACCCGAGCCTAAGAGGAAATTCAGACTCAAGCAAAAGGGCAGAATTTACTAGAAATTATAGGCCATTAATACCACTTCTTTATTCCTGAAAAGTTCATATTCACCAGAGACCAATATCTATTTGGCACCCATCTCATTTTTGTTAAGCACATTATTTATGCAATATAGTTTTAGCAAGATTCTACATTGTAGCACATTCATGATTCATGATTATTTGAATATTTAACTACCGTGCATCCTACTTCCCGTCAACTGCTTTCTAAAAATTAACAGTTGCTAATAATTTATCATGGCTGTAAATAGTATCATAATGGTGAAAATATCATTCCCTTATATGGAATAGAACAACTGAAAACAGCCAATGACAACCGTAGATTTATGTCACATGTATCCATATTGCTTTTTCAGGTTCATCAATTAATTGCATGTCTTGTCACTGTCTGCATTCCACATGTTTGGTTAATCTTGTTATTAATAATTAGCCAGTCATAGTTGCCATTGTTCTTCTTTCTTTTGGTAATTTCTAATAACTGGAATCTTAGCAATTTTTACCGAAAAGTGTAACAACAAATATCCAATTAATATATCCAGAATTAAAATCTGTTCAAGTTTTATGTGAAAAAATACAATTTACCCATATCTGCATATTATATGTCATATTAATCTGCTAATGATATGCATTATTGAACTACCCTTACAACTTGCATTTTTTTTAAATAATTTTTTCTAATAGCACCGCAAGACCATCTGTGTAAAGAGTGCTTAATAAATATTATTATTATTATTATTATTATTGTTATTGCTATTATTATTATTTATTATAAATTTCCTCATAACATTATTATTATTATTATTATTATTATTATTTTTATTATTAGTATTATTATTATTTAGGTGTGGGCATAGGTTTAGAAGTGTGAGAAGATGATGAATATACTTATTATTGATTATATTTTTCCATTTTGTTCTTATTGATTCTATTTTATACTGTCCCAACTTCTATCTTGGCTCCATATTATTTTAAGATGATATGGTACCATTTCCCAATAATCATGTTCCAATTGCTCAGCCCTACAGTATATTTCTACTTAAACTATTTATGATTTTAATATTTGAAGTCAATATGTTTGGTTTCAACTTAAAAAACATAATTAAGTAGGCATTATAATGAATACCTTCTTTCAACTATTTTGATGAAACTCGATCTTCCCTAGAGTAGGCCCCAATTCAACACACATGATTATAAAGGTTAATATACTTTTTCTATACCATGACCTGCATTTATATATTTTGTCTTGTATTGTAGGGTGTTTTGCGTATCAACATTGTAGAGGCACGTGATTTGATGAAGATGGATTTTGGGTTGTTCAAGAAAGGCAAATCTGACCCCTATGTTGTAGTGGAAGGTATCAAATAAAATGTTTTTTCCCATATATGTATTGGACAGTTTAACAAAGAAACAGTAGCACAGTATTTAATGTACTAGCTTCCAATCCCAGGGTCTTAGGTTCAAATCCTGTAAACATAATTTTTTTGTCTTAGTTTAATAGGGAGCTTATGATATGCACGACGATGCGACGCTAGAAGGGAATCACTCATGGTTCTGTTCTAGCATGCGCAGATTACTTTTAATGAAGTCATTACATTCTATGTCCTACCGTCGTCATGCAATCAATAGCTCCCTAATATTATTAAGACTTATTAACTGAGTGTTATTCCAGAAATGTGACACATTGGAATGTGTAGAGATAGCTCAGTGCTGACGGATGCTTGTATTTCAATCCCAGGGTACATGATTTTTTCCTCATTGCAAAAAAAACATTTTATGCTTCATAATGAATGTTTTATTGTTTTCATATCTAAGTATATAAGTGCACTTGACAGTAACAGGATGAAATAATGTTTTATAAAATATGTCTCTGTATGAGATTAAGGAAATAGAGCTGTTTTTAGTCGTAAGTAAGTAACTGTGTAAAATAGGCTTTGCAGGACCTTCAGATTTGCAGGACTTTCACTCCAACAATTTTGATACCTTAACAATGGATTTTTTAACTTTTGTGCTTACCATTTACTAACAAGAATTCATGGGGCAAGTGATATATCTTAGTTCCCCTAGTATATGCCCACCACCATTGGAACACAAAATTTGGCCAATTTGTTTTTTTTTTTGTTTTTTTTTTGTGGGGGTGGTTGGTGGTCTTATACGTGATGAATTCCCTTTTCAATCAAATGGCTATTTTTTAACACAGTATGCCTAATTCAAAATCAATATTGGATGTTTTTTCTGAGTATATTTGTAGAAGTCATACCCTGGTCTTTTGCATGCGAAAAGGCTGGTACATGGAATAGGGCATATAGCAGGGGGTGGGCTTACACCTGAGGAACCAGTACAGTATTACTATTTTTAATTTGTTTTATAAAGTACACTGTTTGCATTATATTACTAGTTTATTTCATCATAAAAATTGATAAGCTACTTGTTGGTTGAGTAAGAAATTGATTTTTATTTATTGATATCTCATGTTTTTTTTCTTGTAAGTTGGAGCTCAAAAGTTTAAGACGAAAGTTATAAACAACACATGCGACCCAATTTGGAACAAATACTTTGAGGTAATACATGGCAATACTTTATTTTTTAATTTCAAGATTGTTATATCATTTTCTGTATTAGTATTATTAATATTATCATCAATTATTATTGCCATATTAAATCAATCAATTATTATCATAGAAAAATCATCTAATCCTGAAGCTTGTTTTCAATACGATCGCTACACGCTATCGCCGAAAGATTTCGGGGATGCTGATTGGTCGGTCAAGTCGGGGAGCCTTCCTGATTGGGTCCAGAACTGCTACGCAATACAGTTATTGCACTGAGAATAGTAGTGACAGTGTAGCAATTTTAAGGGAACCAGGCTTCACCATTATCATCATAATTCATAAAAATATTTTCCTCATGTGAAATGGTAGCTAACAAAGGAAAAGCCTCATTTCATTTAATTTATTGCGCCATATTTATATAACATAGGCTTAGCCAGCGAGCCGTCTTGCCTTCTTTTGGATGGCCTACAATTATTTAGGACAGCCACTTTTACTGTGACGGCTTGGACGGCTTGGCCTAATCAGCTCGGCCTATCCTACTTGGGCCTGGTCTGCCTTTAGCAAATTCTTTATATTCTTCAAATCTATCGAATGTTACATTAAACTAAAGCTAATCATATTTATGTTTGTTAAGCACAACTTTTATTGATTGTTTTCGTACCAATATTTGGTGGGGATTCCCAAAAATTTAAGGCTTAACCTTTGCCTACCCGGTGAAAAGTTCATTTAAAAAATGCGTCGCGTCGTGTTAAAAACATTTACACCCCGCTGGAAAACGGACGGTTTTGAGTTGCCCACAACGCATGCACATGGCTCTCTGCAAATTAATAATTGAGATTCGGTTCCCCGACATAATATTCCTTTGGATGTCCACCCGTGGTAGTTGCCAGATTCTTGGAGATTTTCATTTCAAATTTAACGAAACAGGTGTATATAGAATATCATATTATGTAATGTTGCATGTACGGTAGGTGGTCAGGTATTGACATCAGGTAAAAATTTTGAAGTAGGTAACATCCACTTTCCAAGCATCCTTCCATTTCTAGGCCATTGTCTATGAGAGACTCGGGCAAACTGCAGAGATTGACCTGTACGATGAGGACGCAGGCACCGACGAACCAATGGGAAAGTGAGTCTTAGGGACTTCATTTGTATTCCAATCAAACTGTGGTTTCATACCTGTGATTGGATGAGAAATATAGAGAATTACAAATTGATTAGGATTATTATTATTGAATGATTGGATTACTAACTTGTAATTTATTTGACAAAATCTAGTTCCATAATTTCTTTTCAGAAATCAACTTTCTTATAGAGGAGCGCTGTAAGCGTTTTCATAGAAACGGATACCAACGCTATATAAATTTTCAATATATTATTACTAAAATTATGCCAATTTTTATTATACTTATGCAAATTTGTATGCAGATTATATTCCAAACTACTGCTATGGAACCACTACTGACTGTAATACACATGTGGTGACCTTTATTCTTAATGCATGTAAATAATTTTGACTTTTTCTAACAAATTATTATTTTCAGACTATAGTTGATGTGGTCGATGGACAGTTTCTAAACCTTGATCTCTTCGATCATGACCCACACAGTGCAGATGACCCTCTTGGAAAGTGAGTGGGAGCTGGGTGTCAGTTACTGACCCCCAAACTCCCAAACTAACACAACATATGTTATAAAGCTCTCCATTTGGCTTTAAACATATCACTATCAGAAACATTGGCTAACCATAAACCATAATTTGGAATTACATTTGGTTTTTAATGCCACGGCAGTTTTTTCTTTTAAACATTATTGGTAATTGTTGCATATAACATATTGTGATTGGTGGTTAAAAGCAATGCACCCTCAAGCAGTAAATCACAAATTGGACACTTTATGAGAGCTAATACTTATTAAAATGGGTGGAATTCCCTGGTTACTGCTAATAATTCCAAGTTACTATCAGTTCCTTTCGGTCTGTTTTCCTAGTTCTAACAAAATGATTAATTAATTTAATGTTTGTTTCAGAAATAATGGATGTATATATAATTGATATACTAGTAGTTAATGAAATTATTTGCATAATATGTATTAATAATGCCTAATATGCATCGCAGCATAATAAATGTATTTCCAAGCAGAGGGATGTCATTTCAGTTCAGTTTGGGTATTTTCTTTTGCTCCGTCATATTCTTAAATACCAAGAACTTTTTTACTTCCCACTTTCTGCCACCACCACCACCACCAAACCACAGCTGAGCATCCAACACCAACATCCCCAACACACCGCTAAATTGACCTGCTTACCATCTTTCAGATCACACTCATACCTAGCCTCCAAAGTAATTCCCACCCCAAATTACCATTTTACTTTTTACCCATTCTCACTTCCCTATCTCCCATTCCCCATTGCTCTATCAGTCTCTACATCTGCTGTTATACCCTGGAATAGGTCTTATTTCGTGATTTAAAAGTTCTGTCCTTTTTATCCAAATTTCTGTGACAAATATATTTTATTTGCCCATATATGGGCTTGCCAGTGTAACCAGGGCAAATGAAACCTTGTCACATATAACATGTAAAATAATTCCGGTACATATTTGAACCCAGGAAATTTAGGATTGGAAGGAACACTTCATGACTACTACGCTACTGCTTCATTCCACTCCATATTTTTTAAAAATTATATTAACTTTATTGATACAATATATTCATAAATAAATAATACTAAATTCATTCAAAGAGGTTGTTTCATAAGTTGTTAGACTCAGGGGAGGGCAAGGGACTAATTTCCTCCATAATTTTGTGGTTGAAATTAGTACAGTAGTTTGTAACTAAAATATATTCTTAAGCTGTGGGTGTGGCACTTTGTACTGCACCCCTACTTTGCTTCACCCTGCACCCCCATCCCCGCTGTAAAACCTTCCTTCTGTACCTCCTTCCCTCATGCTTCACCTATGCACCAACAGTATATCTATTTATTGGCAAACATGTACAGTATTACCTACAGTGTACACTGTTTGATAGCACACGGGGGAGCACTCAGATTTTATACTCAAGGAAGGATGAAATAAATAATTGTGAGCCAATAGAAAAGAATATTTCAGGTTATGAGACAGGTGATTTAATCTCATAGATTCATATTGCTACTTTATATCATCACTCTCAAAATGAAGAATCTTTAATTCTGAAATTTTGGTACAACTACCATTACTATTGTTATGACTATTATACTATCATTACTATTGTTATGGATAATATTTGTTTCTTTGTAAAGTTCAGGACATAATTATTTATCTAAATAAATACATGCATGATGTATAACATAATCATACATAAATGTCATAAAAACACTGAAAAAAAAAACAAGTCCTTAATGAATCATTCAGGGGCTCACAGCGACCTAAGGCAAGACTTTTTTTCATAACTTGTTTAGCGAACTTATTTTTATTAAGATCGTCAAGTCCCAGGCAGAAAAAGAGTAAAAACATTTTTTTTTTCTTATTGATTTCAAAATGGTTTTGCTGAAAGCATCTTCACGAAAATGTGAATTTTCGAGATAAAAAATGTACCACCTAGACCTTTTTCTTTGTTCAAAGGCGAGACTTTTTTTATTCCTTGTTTCGCGTACTTATTTTTTTAAAGATCATCGGAGGAGGGTGGAATAAAAATATAAATAAAATTTAGCTTTGGCAAAAACATCCAGACGGAGGAGGAAATAAAAATGCAATTTTATTGGTGAATGTAAAATAGGATGGTTAAATGTTTCAAATTTATATAATTAGGAAGAAATCTACATTTCTTATTTTTAGAGATTTCAATTCAGCGGAGGGCGTAATAAAAATATAGAAAAATTTTATATTTTTTTCTGAAATTTCCACTTTCTTGTGGTGGCAGGTGCTCTAATTGGCCAAAAATAAAATGTTTTTCGTTTTTTTCCTCGAAATCATTAATATTTGCAGTCGGCAGGTTCGCTAAACAAGGTATAAATAAGTTTCGCCTAATTATATAGGCCCTAGATATAGAAAAACAGTTTTATTCAAATTCCAATTAACATACATCTTGGCAACAATGCATAATTGTGATGATATTTACAAGTTTTTTTAAATGTATGAATAAGACAGTAACATGCAAAAGTACAAAAATCAAATATATAAATTAAGTAACATTTTAGACAAATAAATATTTCATTCTAAAAACATCAAAATTTAATTATTATTTCATGAAGATTACAGTGTATAAAAAATATAAAATTTGGACAATACATCCAGACAATTAACTGTTAATTACAACAAGTTTATATTACATCATTTGTTAAAACAAAAAAAAGGGGACATTACATACAAAACGAAACCAAAATATTAAATTAAATAGTTGATTTTTTTTATGTTTCTAGCTTGAGTCTGGATATTGATCATATTTCACAAGCTGGAAGCCTTGATTCGGTGAGTACCTTAATTGATGAACAAATAGATAGTAATAGTTCACTAATATAGTGAACCTATCACTATATTAGTGAGAAACAATCTGTATGTTTACTGAACTGTGGAGATGTTCTTCAGCGGGGGTAGTGCCAGGATTTGTCTGAACAAATAGATAGTAATAGTTCACTAATATAGTGAACCTATCACTATATTAGTGAGAAACAATCTGTATGTTTACTGAACTGTGGAGATGTTCTTCAGCAGGGGTGGTGCCAGGATTTGTCTGACAGTTTTGGCCGATGTTCCTGACGAAGAGAAAAAATAGGCGTGGTCAGAGGTTGCTCAAAATCTTGAAAGTGTTCCTGGGGAGAAGCTAATAAAATATGACAATTTAGGAGTTTCAGGTGCTAATATTTAAACAATTTTAGAGTCTACTAATATGTAGAAAATATATATAAAGTTTTTTTTTCCCCAACAATTTGTGGTTTTATTCCCGATTGTCGGGGCGGCAACTCTCTCTGAAGGGGGCCCTAGCGCCACCCTTGTTCTTCAGACTTTTGACCTCTGACTCACGTGGATTGCTGCTCTCCTGTGTTTCATGTGGAGTGGGGAAATACAGTTGACATTAATGCACCATCTTTTGAAAGAAACATTTACTGTGATCTATATTTTCTTGTGAAATATATCCCGTTTGCATGCTAAAGAACGCAGTACACTCTTTCAAAAAATAGCTGGAGATTTTCTCCCAATGCACTACTCAGTTTATCACCAGAATTACCCGACTAGAAATTTCTTCATACTGTCATGGGTTGTCCTTGGTGTGTTTTGCACTAACGAAATCCAGTCCACTCAGATCGAATTGATTTTTATTCGTATTTAGTGGTTACCATTAGAAGATGCATCAACTGGCCAGCTACATATTAACTTGACGTGGCTGAGGCTTAGCCACACAATGAACGACTTGAATATTGTAAGTAGATAACATGGTTTGGTGTTCAAGGTGTTCTCTTTCCAAACACAGGATCCCCGTTCAAGCTTAACATGGGTTGTGTAATTCATTTGATAACTCCTATTAAAACCTATAAAACTTCCAATCTTTTGATTATTTATATTTATATATTTTTTTTTGTAATATTAATTAAAACTGCATTTCTGTGCGTAAATAGAATTGCTTATTTTGTATAATGTGCACAATTCCTCTGTTCTTTAGAGCCTACAGTTGGCTGTGTATAATTATTTTTATTTAATTTTTATGTGATTTTTGGCTGTTTTGAGTCTTATCTGAGAGGTGACCCATACAACTTTTCAGAAAATTGTTTGATTACCTTAAAGTGACCCATTAACATTTAATTTATTTATATAAACTCTTATTAAGATTTAATACTATTCCATTTCACCTGAAAGCAAATTCATTTTATTCCTAATAATTTTTTATATTGACGTGTATTTATAACTCTTTTTAATAATATTAAATATTATTCCATTTTCCCCCAGCAAAATCAATCTTATTCATAATAATTTTTTTATATCCAAATGAATTTATAATAACCAAGGTAATTCAACAAAAGGACGCACATCTCGGGACATCAAAGGTTATAACTCTGGCATCGACGTTCTAGGCGCACGTGCGTCCCTACACGCTGAACGTCACAAAACAATAGCAACCAGACCATAAACCGTCAGCGTACGTGACGATTTACCCACGCGCGTGTTAGTTGCCATGTTAGTCGCGCGTCGTGCGGTGATTACAAAGGCCTAATGATATTTTGCACTAACATTAGACTGATTTCAACATTAATTTTACCAAAATTGTGGTGAATTGTCGTTCATGAGACTCACTTCGCAGAAAAAATTAATAAATGTTCCGTATATAAGATGTGTATAAGAGACAGAACTTAGCTTACCTGCATTGAAATTTTGAAAATTAAATTGAGAAACATATATTTTTTTAATAATATTGACATTTTGTATTACACAAATTTTTAAAAATTGGTGCAAAATATTACCATTTCTTAACTGTTATATACTGTTTATTTTCTGTAGACGACCAAGAAGTCTGCAAGCTTGCCAAGTCCTTTTTGCATCCTATCTCTTGGCCATGTGGATCATAAAAGTCGTGTAAGTTGTCCTGCGAATTAGCTTTTGGGTGTTAAAATTTCATAAATATTCTGGAAATCTAATTTTTTGATATAATCAAAACAAAATATAAAATATGAGATATTAAGACTAATAATGGTTTTCCTTTATATTTTCAGCCGATTTTGGATAACAGCAGTCCTGTATGGGAGGAGGTGTTTCATTTCCTAGTGCAAGACCCAAATGTACAATCCCTTGATGTAACAGTAAGAAACAGTCTCCACTATCGAGTATTTTTAAAAATCACTCTTATAATAAATAAATAAATACAGTTGAACTCGCCTAAGTCGACTGTGCCTAAGTCGAATAATTTCTAAATCGATTTTATCTTACATGGCAAATTGTTGTGTATTCCATTATTTAACAATCTGAAAGTCAAATTTTATCCAAGTTGAACAATATTTCAATGGCATTTTGGATTCGACTTAGGAAAGTTTAACTGTAAATAAATTGGAGAATTTGTATAGCGCCTGTTAGAAAAAAATTATTTGTCACTGGCGCTTAAAGATAAAATAATTATTGATTAAAGAGATAGGTTTTAAGGAGGGTCTTGAATACATTAGTATCAGAAGTTGATCTAAGATTAGGTTGAAGAGATTAGTGGAAAAAAGGAAAAGACCGTTTGCCAGTACGAACATGCAATACTCTGGGGACAGATAACCTGAGAGAATTAGACTGTCTTGTGGAACGTGAAGATAGTTGTTGTGAGATTGATGAAGAAAGATAGTGTGGAACGTAGCCATATAAGCATTTATGAGTGAGTAAAATAATTTTGAAGTTTAGACGTTTACTTATCGGTAGGCAGTGAATGTCTTTCAAGCTAGGTGAAACATGATCACAAATTTTAGTGAGACAGTTCTAACGCTTTTGTAAGGTTCTTAATTTAATAGTAGAGGTGTCCCATACGATAAAAATCTACAGAAATCAATTTCAGAGGTGATAAAAACATGGACGAGTAATTCAGCAGTGTAGCATGAAATATATGGACGAATAGATTGAATTCGTCTGAGGTTAAAATATCCAGATTTACAGATAGATGAAATGTGGTTTTGAAAGGTAAATTGATTGTCAAACAGTACACCCAAATTTTGTGCTGTAGTTGACAACGATATATTGACAACCTCTACGGATATATGAATTTGATGAAAAGAATGAATGCTTCTAGATTTTGGAAATATAGTAAGTGATTCTGTTTTTGTGGGTTGAGTTTAAGTTTCATTGTAGTCGTCCATTTCATAATGGAAGAAATACAAGAATAAAGAGTCGATCCAATGTCAGTAGTGAATATCAAGTTCAATACACATATAAAAAAATATAACAATAATTAATAAACGGAAAAATTAAGAAAACTTCCTAGGATAACATTCTTAAGATAAATGACAAGGGGGAGGGGGAGGGTGGGGACAGCCCAAACAGAAAAAAAAAAAAAAAGACAGAAGGGTAAGGAAAAGGAGACAAAATATTACAAACATGTACTGTAAAACGTGAATTATTATTAAGAATAATTATAAAAATTATTAATTGCAATTAAAGATTATAGATTTCATTCAAATTCTCAAAAGAGGGTGCTCAGCCCACATGTGTTCATCTTTGGCATGGAAAATGTGGGGGAAAAATCGTAAGTTTTGAGAGGTGGTCTTGAAAGACCTTTAACGGTATGGGCTTATTTCAAAATTTATGTAGAAATTTAAAACGTTTAGTGTCAGCAGGCGAGATGAGCCCATGTGAGCCGATTTCAAGAAGGGAAAGATTGACCTATGGCCAGCATCACTAAGATAGGAAACCAGAGATGAATACTTTATTATAAACTTTCTTAAATTTGCAGCCTTAATTTGAGTAAGTGTAATGTGGAAATGGGTTTACCAGGAAGATATAAAAATATGTTTATACCTCCCTGGTTGCACATTAAGCATGATTGCTAGTATCTATAGCACATTTAACAAAGTTTGTGGGTTTTCCCCAGTTTCTGAAGCACCACAACTCTATATAATGTGGATACCACAGCACTATATAAATAAAAATTTCCTTCGCATATTTAGGCCTATGAAGAAGAACTGTTTGAATAGTAGATTGATTTTTATTAATTGATTACCTGAATTGATTGAGTGATTTCTTTATTTATTTGATTAGATTGATTAAAAAGACTTAATGAATGTATTTGATATATTGTAATTTGTTTTCTAGGTCAAAGACCACAAGAAAGACAAGTCCCTAGGAGTGTTAAATGTTCCCTTGCGACGGGTACTCTCGCAGTCTGATTTCATCCTAGAGCAGCCTTTCACCTTGGACCATTCGGGTCCCCAGAGCCGACTATTCCTCCGCCTCTGCGTAAGGGTAAGTCACCAATAAGAAATACTGGTGTCAAAAAACTTGCACCATGTCAGGCAATTTTACCTCATTAATTGAGACTTGCCCTCCCAGAACCAGCATATAGTCTCTAAATGCTAAACTGAGTAATTATATAAGAATGTGGCTGTATCGTATACTTTAGTACAGAGAAGCTGTAATACTTTTACTCATAACTTTTAAGCAATATAAGTTGATTCTAGTAAATGACCCATCATTTTAAAGCTTATAATGTGGAGAATAACAATATATTAAAAAGTCAATTTTCATTTTTTTGGTCACTGATGCAGATTTTGGGATGGGAAGCCTCAATTTGATAAAGACTATTCATCCAATGCTGAGAGGCAGTGTCACATTTGTAGTATACAATAGATGATTTTGCTCAGTTTGCAACAATTATGTTTGATGTAGCAAAACAATTTTTCCTTGCAAATTAATAAGTAAAAATGAAGTAAATTTGCCAAAATGATTATAATATATATATATATATATATATATATATATATATATATATATTTATCCCCGACGAATTGTGTTATTTTTCTACTCTTCTTGGGGGAGGGGAGGAAACTGGGGAAACAAATTTTCTAGGGGAAATTTTTTCCTACCCATGTGCCCCCGTATATTGCCACCACTGCACTTAAAAGCAAATAAAAGAAGCACTAGATATAATATTTTACTATTTGAGTTATTTTTATGTTGTGGTTTCTAGGCTCTTGAAGCAGCTCCATTGAAAGGCAGATCCAGCGTTTCAGACCCCAAGGGATTTATGGTAAGCAAACAACTAAATCAATACAAACCAGTCTCATTACTATATAGTAAGGTACAATTTTAAACAGGCACTGTACAAATGGTTTTATAGTCTTCACAGCTATTGGCTCAAAATATTGAGGGGTGTTTTTGTTTTTGCCATGAAAATTTAGTTTTTCTTCCCTATATCTCCAACTATATTAGGCACTGGAAGAACCTTGGACAATGTAAAATCCAAATCCTAAAATACAAAGAGAATGCTAGAATGAGTATCATATTGCAGTTGCTTGCCATGTATTTCTCACGTTATCAGTGGGTATTGCTTCAAATCCATAAACATTTCCTCTTCCTGTACTTTATTATGTTTATACAAACTAAACCTCTTGTGACCACTAGTTGTTAATAGTGTCATTTATTTTGATCTCTAAGTAACAGGAAATGTTGATGGGCACTACCACGCCATAGCCCATAATCCAAACCTCTACTAAAATATCATTAAGTATCAAACATTCAAATATATATTTTTTAATCATTAAATGTTGTGTTAAAATGACTCATAATTTTCTTTTTACTTAAAAAATTCTTGATTGTTGTCTTGGTTTCTATATATATTGTTGCTTTTTTTATTATTAATATGACTTGTGTTTTATTGTATTAAATACTTTTTAAAAAGTTGAAAAAATACATAGAATTACTTCCGTAAAGATTAGCATTCTTTTAAAACAACCCAATTCAAATTTAGGATCTTCATTCTTTACATATATTTGTTTTACATTGCTTTCAATGTTTACTGTATTGGCTGGTCACACCACTACTTAGTGTGTGCCATTGTTCGAAGAGTGAATACCTAATAAATCTGAAATTTGAGGCAGTAAATAATGTATGAACAACTAAATATAATAAAGACAGACAAACTGGTATTGAAGCAAAAAATAAGATATTCTTGCTTCTGTTTCAGATTGTGAGACAACGAGGAAGCGCGAGTGAGACCGTAGACAACCAATCAGATGACAGAACTTTAGATGATGTTGACGCGGTTGATGAACCAGTATTCAATGAAAATCACACAGGTTCAGACGACCTCATTGTGACCGATGACAATGCAAATCCTGAATTACGAAAACGTAACGTTGAGTCTACCAAGTAAGTCAACTATGATCACCAGTAACATATTTTGTCCCTTACGAATAAAAACCTTGATTTCAGCTTAAACATATTGATGTAGAATTTTACTTGTGAGTTATCCAGTTTTAGTGTCATTTGTCAAGTTTAAAATTTTAATGGGTGAAAAATATGCGCTTTTATTTTCCTTAATTTTGATTCTTACCAAGTATGTCAGACATGCTCACCTGTAATATATTTTGTTCCTTACAAATAAAAACTTTGATTTTGTCTTGTTTGAAATATTGATGCGTAGAAAAAGATAATTTTACTTGTGAATTATTCAGTTTTAGTGTTGTATGTCAAAAATAGTATACATTTTAGTGCTGTTATGGGTGAAATATGCGCTTTTATTGTGCTTTTGGTTTTAAGTTTTCCCTGTGTTTAAAAAAAAACACCAAAAAACCATTGTTCGTATTTTTTGTTTTTAGATTTTCATTTGCTTGTTTTATAACCATTTTTTAGAATTCATTTTTTTTAGTTTTAAAACATGATGCTATGTTTATGTTAATGCATTATCGTAGTTGGCCTGTTTCTGGCTTTGATTTTTTCATGATTCTACCGAAAAACCTCAAGTGACCGTGTCCTTTAAAGGTTTCAAATTGTTTGATATTCATTTGGAATGCATTTTAATAATTCAATAATTTATTTTTTTTTTCTTTTTTGTGGGGAAAACATTGTTTCCGCTGCGCAAAACAATACAGGATGACATTGTTTTTTTTTTTTTGGAGACTGCTTTTGGGAATTGGTACTTTAGCTATCTCCCCCCCCCCACCCCCTCAACGGATTCATATAAAAGTTACCTTGTATTACATTTTGTTTTGACAAACTATATCAAGAAATATAAGCAGTACCTGAACTTGTATATCTTCCAATCACTGTCGGTGATTGTTCTCTGACTGGGAGGACAATATGTTTGATTTATTACAAAGGGCTTGTGTTCCTTCGGGATACCATCAGTTTTTTCCTGTGACAAATATTTGTGATTTGCCCCTATTATCCCATATATTGACGTGATGATGTCATATCCCTCACTTATGTAAAAATCACAGGCATATGTCACATGAAGCTTTTAAACAGAGTTTCAAGACAACATTTTTATTGTGCAGTCATCATTTTGAATAACCTATTTTCATCAGTATTGTATAGGGCCTAATAGTGTACAATTTGAACATATTATTTAAAATTATATGGTATTAGCAGGTGATATGACACATATATAAGTTATTTGTATAATAAATTATTCATTTTAGTGCAATATTATATAATATTATAAACTTAATTGCTTCTAACAACATATGTGCATGATTTATAAATTCCATTTCCAAAGCTCTTTTTTTTCTCCTATAATCTTAGTCACAATATACAATGAACCAGTTATTCCTTTCATTGTTAGAGGTATTATAACAACTCAAGTGCTGACTGTGTGAAGGAATGCATAGGTTACATATCAGTTCTCAACAAGATGGCTGTTATCAGAAAAGCACCACCTACAGACCTAGTGCAGTATACACAAGGAGATGTCAAAAATCGACATCTCCCTTGTATACAGACTACAAAATAAATAACACTAATTATTATGTAATTATTACTAATTAAATCAATAATAAATTACAGTGCACAGTCCAATTCGAGACCACCCCAAATTTTCAGGTACCGAATGTTGTCTCAATTTGGAGGACGAACTTTAATAATCTTGCAATTGAAACGATTCCTAAATGTGCTTTTATTGGCTGAGTCTTTGACTACCATCTTGTTGAGAGCCAATACACAACTCTGCATTTTTGGAGTATCTAATACATTGTAGTTGAATGAGGCTTTCTTTATTCCTTGTTTTGCATACTTATTTCTTTAAAGATCATCGGAGGAGGGCAGAATGAAAAATAAAATTTTGTTTTCTTATTTAGCAAATAGTTTTGCCAAAATCACTGGCAGATGGAGGAGCAAATAAGAATAAAATTTTATTGGTGAATGTAAAATGGGGTGGTAAATGCTTCAAATTTATATAATTAAGAATAAATATATATACATATAATTGGAAATCTCAAGGCAGAGGAGGGCGTAATAAAAATAAAGAAAAACTTTTATTTTTTTTTTCTTAAATTTCCATTTTTCATGACAGTGGGTGCGCTAACTGTCCAAATATAAAATTTTGATTTTATTTCAAATTATCAATATTTGCATTCGCTAAACATGGTATAAAAAAAGCCTCAACTTAGTGTTCTCGTGTTCTTATAATATCTCTATAGCACCGTCATTGTCGTACAGTCAGTGCATGCGTTGGTGTATGCATCTAGTGTAAGTGTCACGTTGTAAACTATGGTTTTTGAATTCTAACACATGAGGCTTAGTATAACACATTTCTCTGCAAGCTGCGATGAGGACGGCAAAACAGAACAACAAGAACCACCAACACCGAAAAGAACGGTAAAATCTATAAAAGAAAAGATTTTGAAACAGTTGTGCTGTGTAATTTTGTAAAACATTAAATTTTTCTACAAGACTTTTTTGTACAAATAAACTTGTAAAGTTTATCCATTTAGACAAGAATCAAAAATGTGCTTTTATGATTGGACTTTGTGATTGAACACTTTTGTACTGGACAGTATTCAATGTTTGAAATGCTTTTACTATATTTGTTTAACTCTTTCACTACGTAATTTCCTATTCCATATTTCCCATATCTGGGCGGAATAAAATGCAGGAAATTTGGGGAAAATAGGAGATATATAGAAAAAGCGTTATAAGTTTTTAATTGGCTTTCAAAAATATACAAAAGTATATATATTCTTTATCCTTGAGACCTTCTCTGTCTAATTATAAGAAAGTTGTCACTGTCGTTGGTGCTAGTGTTATGCACACTTTCACTATCATCACTATCATGACTAGGCCTAGCTAGGCCTACATTATCATCATCGCTAATATCCATGTCATCTTGTGATTCAGTGGCAGTATTTGAACAATCACTATCACTCTGGGTATCATCATCATTGACATCCCACTGTCTGCGAAGCACTTCTTCTGCAGTTAAATTACGTCTTCCAAGCGCAGCCATTGAAATGTTACTCAAAACAACAATGCCTAGCCTGCTTGAAGCCTGTTTCAGCCTTTATTCAGACGGAGAGCCGTTTTCAACGGCTCAAAATAAGGTCAAAGGTCATGCAGATTGTTGTTCAATATAATATATGCAAATGTCATGGGGATATCCCCGGGATATCCTCATTTGTTTACAGTGACGTCAACAAGCCGCTGTCGGCGGCTTTCTGCTCAAACTGCATATTTTATCTGCGCCGCTGTGAGCGGCTCGCCGTAGCGAAAGAGTTAAGGTACAGTTTACCCTCCAATTCGAGACCACTATTTAGAGGGATTGCTTTGTGACAATTGTGATTTGGTTGTTATTGAAAGTGGTCTCAAATTTTAGAGGGGATCTCAAATTTGAGGGTGCACTGAATTAGCGTCCAATTTGAAATTTGAACAGGAAAATATTCCCTTGTAACTAGTAACAAGGCAAAAAAATAGGCTAGTAACTAATAACTTATTTAAATGTACAACTTAAGCAATTTAAAATTTTAAAACTTTTTTTTCAACTTTATTATCCCATCAGAGAAAGTGTATCGTTAATGTAAATAAATTGTGTGTCATACTCTAACATAGATGATCAATAACAGGTCATGGACCTGACCAATTTTACTTCACTTTAAAATATTAACTTATATGACCAAAATAATTTTTACTTGGTCATTTATGTTATGTCCTTGTTATGTAGTGGTGTATATTATTGTTTTAGTTTAATTAAACTTTATATTTTTGTCATCCTACCGATGACATAATGTGGCTGGTGCTAGGCTTAATCTTGCTTCTGAGTTATTATGCCATGCTGACCTATAATGTTTTCAGATGCTATACAATGTGCTATTATTTTTTCGTTGTATTGTTTTCATAGTATATTACAAGAAATATTATTAGTTAGCTAGCCCTATCCAGACAGTCACACTTTATTTGACAAAAAACTGTTGTATGCCCATATATAGTCATGATATGCCTATATTTGTCATGATGTGATGTCATCATGACCATATTTAGGCATGTCACATGTTTAAGTTGATACAATTTTATAGTCTGAACAGAGCTTAACAATAATATAGTATAGTTGAGTTTGCCAATGCATACACTACCTAAGTTTATGTGACAAATTTGTGTGATGTGATTATATATAGACATGATGGTGTCATATTACTCCTAAATTTGGGCATATCACATTTATATGCCACATCAAGTTTGATAAAAAATGACAAAAATTATATACATCAGCCAAACATACCATTATTTTTGACATTAATTGTCTTGCCCGTAATTTATTGTTTCACTAACCCGATCATACATTACGTATATTTCTACATTGCTATTTATAAATATTTTATCATCGTTCTAATTCAATTACTTCCTTAAATACTTAAAATGTAATACCAATAATCTTAACCAGCTGTGCCTTCTCAGATATGAATGGGCTTTAGCTAAAATATAGTCATAGGCTTATGTCTATGGTAACTCTTCCAAATGTAATCACTTGAATACAACTTCCTATCCAAAGATATAACATGCTTTACTTGAATTATAATAAATTATAATAGAAATATTTATATATAAAACAACTGAAATATATTTGCTTTTTTTAGATTATATTGTATTTGTGAAACAATTCATGCCTATTAGGATTGAAACCCAAGGCCCTCCGATTTTTATTTGGTGCTATACCGCCTGAGCTGAGCTTGTAGGCCAATTCTCTCTTGGATTTTGTCTTTACCTACCTACCTACCTACTGTACCAGTCAGCATCATGCATTATCTACACTTGCTGCCTTTTTTTCATTAGGACATATTTTTTAAAGGTTGTGATATATTTTCAATTGGTTTTTATTTTATATCTTGGTATAGTTGGTATATTTCATTCCGATTTATAGTACAATATTGTATTTTGTAAAA